CACTGGAGGGGGGAGAGGGGGGGACCCTAATTCACCATGAGCAAGTGGGGCTCGGGGGCTGTTTTATGGGGGCTATGGGGGTGGCACGATAGCCAAGTTGGGGGCGGGTGATGGGATTTCACAGAGACCCCTGAGAGGTTTTTCTGGGTGGAAGCACAGACCTTGCTCCTCCTAGAACACTTCTGGACTTCCAGGCCAACCGTTGGCTTCTCAGGATGAGCCAGGGTTGCCTAGAGGCCCCCCTGGACACTTGGGAGGAGGGTGGGGGGGGAGAGACTGCCTTCATTTCTAACATGGGGTGAAAGCCGGCATCTGGGAGCACCAGGATTCCCGAGCTCCGTTCAGACGTGGATTCCCAAGCAAACCAGGCCCAGCCAGCGCAGCCGACGGCAGGAGGGGATCCAGGGGGATTGTGCCTGCTGCCAAGAAGGGGGCAGTGCGGGTTGGAGGGCAACCCAGGCCAAGGGAGGAGGAGGAGGAGGGGGCTCTGGCTGCTGCAGCCCCTCCCAGCGTCCCCTCCGGTCCCTCCGGAAAGGCCTGAGGCTGGGAAGGAGGCTGGCCAGAGCCCACAGCAGCCCCCCCCCCCTCCTCAGGCCTCTCTGCCCAAGGCAAACCTGGTCTGGGCCAAAAGGCCGGTCAGCCGTCCAGTTCTCCCGCGTCTCCAGCCCCCCAGCCAGCCCTCAGGAGGCAGAGGAGGAGCCTCTGCGGAAGCTCCCCCAGGAGACGGAAGGGCCTCCCTGGCACCTTCGCCCTCAGCGCTGCCTCCTTCCTGGGAAGCCTTGACGGCAGTGCTGCTCTGCCCCCCACCGAAGGAGGCTGGAGAGGAGGGGCCGCATTTCACCCCTCACGTGGGCCTCGTGGCCCCTGCGCTGCTTGGGACCCCCACGCTCCCCACACAGAGAGGCTCGTCCGCGGGGGCCTCCCTCGGGGGCTGAGAAAGAGGGAACAGCAGCGGCCTCCGTTCAAGACCCCAGACGTCCGTCCAGGGCAAAACGGCAACACCCCCACACACCCCCAAGTATCTTTCTTTTGAGTGGAAAAGGGAAACGGGCCCTTTTGCGGAATTTGTCCCAGAATGGATCCTTCCCCCCCCGCTTCCTCTGTCCCCGTTTCTACCTTCAGCCTGAAAACATCTGGGCCAGGCACTGTTTCCTTAGCTTTCCCTTTCCAGGAGGTTTCCCCACAGCTGCACAGGAGGGTCTCCGAGGGATCCGTAGCTAAAAGGGCCCTCCTTGGCCTGGGCCCTTTCCCTCCCGAATGGGGCAGCCGGCTTCCAAAGGTAAGAGAAGTGGGGCTCCCCCCCCCCCCACGCTTGTTTTTCAGATTCACTGAGAGCAAACAGATGTGCTCAGGGGCCGTCTAGGCCAAATAGTAAAACTTAACTATTCCTTAACTATTAAGGAGCCAGGAATTAGAATCCGCGTGGATTTATTGTAAAGAAGCTTTGAGTTTTCTCAGGGTTTTCACCACTTTTATGCCTGAGTTTGAGTTTTAATTTTGGAGAAACTCTCAGTGGGCCTCTTTCACCCTGCACTTTTGGTAGCTGCCTATAATAAACAACTATCTATTTACTATCTGCTGCTTGAAGACGGGGAGGCTGTGTTTCCATAAGGTTGCCAGGGGATGCTCTGTGCAGAGGATGCTAGTTCAGCCAGGGGAAAAGGGCGTTTTCCATGGGAGACGCTTGGGAGACGGGGTCTTCAAGAGGGCGGCGTTTTGGGGTCTCGGAGCAGGCGGAGGGCGAGGGCTCCTTAGGCCTCAGAGTTGCTCCAGGCGGCCCCAATGGCCCGGACTGCCCCCACCCCCCCAATCCTTCCCAGGCTGCTTAGAGAAAGCCTGCTCTCTCTCTCTCTCTCAGGGTGGGGGCTACGTGCCCACACTTTACTCCTTCGGCTCTGGGTCTCGGATGGCCTCTTCTTCTGGACTCCTCACGTCACGGGTGGGATGAGGAACTCCCCAAAGGACCTGGGCTCCCAGGCACAAAGAAAGCTTCCAAAAGAAGAAGGAAAGTTTACTTTCATCTGGCATGGAGGGTTTTTTTCTCTCTCCCAAAGCAGGGGGGGGGGGGGACCCCCCTTTCAAAAACCCCCCCCCCCCCCCCAGGCTTCTCCTAGCAAAATTACACAAATGCATTTCTCTGACTCTGGCCTCTGATGAGGATAATTTCAAAAAGTGTTACGTTTTTTTCAAAAAAAGGCAAGCAGCCAATGAAAAGCCTGAGAGGGTTGGAAGGGCCCTGGGAGGCCTTCTAGTCCAACCCTCTGCTCAAGCAGGAGACCCCAACCCATCTGGAGAAACCTCCCTCCAATCTCTCTTTGAAGCCCTCCAGTGATGGAGCATTTCCCACCCCCGGAGGCAAATCCTCCTCCACCGGTTCTGCAGTTCTGCAGCTGCTTCTCTCCCAGATGAGCTTCCCCCCTCCTCCTCCTCC